TCACGGCCGCGGCCGTACTTCGTTCCGCTCCTTCAGCAGGTTCTTGGTCAGCCTCCTCCTCCTGGTCCTACTCCCTCCCTATAGTGTCCTCAGCCTGTCCAGTCGCAGTTACAGTTACAGCCTGCCTCGCCACTCCCTGGTCCTTCTCCCTACACTGGTCCGACAGGAGGTCTTACGGAGCGTCGTGAGCCTGAGTCTCGTCCTGTGTCGCCTGAGTCTCGTTCTGCGTCACCTGTTCGTGCTGCTCGCGCTGGTCGTGTTCCGCGTCAGCGTCCTCCTGCTGTCCCGGGCACTCACCAGATGACGCTTCGTCTTTCCACTGGTCCACAGCGTGTCCCTCTGCCTTCTCCTCCTGCGTCCTCCCTTCCTGCCCTTGCTGACCCGGAGTCTGACTCTCTTCGTGCTGCTAGTCCTACTGTCACGCGTCTCCTGGCCACGGCTGTCACTGACCCTTCCTTTGAGTCTGCTGCTGCGTCTGCCTTAATTGTTGAGCTTGTCGACTTCGCTGCTCGCTGTCGTCTAGACTACGCCACGAGTCTTGTTGCTGAGTCTGAGTCTGTCTGTCCTCCGTCCGTCGGGGGTGAGTGTGCTCTTGGCACGGACGTCCTTGAGGACAGGAGGAGGAGTTTGAGTGCTTTGCCGCTGCTGTACCTCATCTCGTGTCCATGCTGATTGCACCTGAGGGAGACCCGGATGCACCAGACATCCCGTCGCGGGTGAGTACTCCTCTCAGTGGCAGTCAGCCATGGACGCAGAGATGGCATCCTGGAAGTCCACTGGCACTTACGTCGACAAGGTTCCCCCTCCTGGGGCGAATATCAACAGTGGCATGTGGATTTTCAGGGTGAAGCGGCCGCCACGTTCTCCGCCTGTCTTCAAAGCTCGTTACGTTGCTCGAGGCTTCAGTCAGCGAGAGGGAGTAGACTTCTTCCAGACCTTCTCCCCCACCCCGAAGATGACCACTCTTTGGGTGCTACTGCACGTTGCCGCTCAGCGTGACTACGAGCTTCACTCTCTTGACTTCAGCACAGCTTTCTTGCAAGGCAGCCTTCACGAGGAGATCTGGCTGCGCCGCCCTCCTGGCTTCACTGGGTCGTTTCCTCCTGGTACCCAGTGGAGCCTCCGGCAGCCAGTCTACGGTCTCCGCGAGGCGCCACGTGAGTGGCACGACACACTGAGGACTACACTTGCGGCTCTTGGGTTCGCACCTTCTACTGCTGACCCGTCGCTGTTTCTGCGCACCGACACTTCGCTGCCGCCGTTCTACATCCTCGTGTACGTCGAAGACTTGGTCTTTGCCACTGCTGACACTGAGGCTCTCGCCCACGTGAAGTCGGAGCTGCAGAAGAGACACACGTGCACAGACCTGGGTGAACTGCGCAGCTACCTTGGCTTGCAGATCACCCGGGACAGAGCACGCCGCACCATCACACTGACTCAGTCACACATGGTGCAGCAGGTCCTTCAGCGCTTCGGCTTCACCTGGTCCTCAGCATAGGCCACTCCTCTGGCTACAGGTCACTCACTCTCAGCTCCACCTTCGGACGAGTCCGTAGAGCCGAGTGGTCCTTACCCAGAGCTAGTTGGCTGCCTCATGTACCTGATGACTTGCACTCGTCCTGACCTAGCGTACCCTCTTGGCCTTCTGGCTCGCTACGTGGCTCCTGGTAGGCACCGAAAGGTGCACTGGGATGCTGCTAAGAGGGTACTGCGCTACATGTGCAGTACATCGGGCATGGGGCTCGTGCTTGGAGGGAGGAGCTCAGTTGTTCTCACTGTGCACTCAGACGCTTCTTGGGTTGACGACCAGGCTACTCAGCGATCGTCACAGGGTTACACCTTCAGCCTTGGCTCTGGCTCAGTTTCGTGGCGTTCTACACGTTCGTCTTCAGTTCTCAGCTCCAGTTGTGAGGCTGAGATCTACGCCATAGCCATGGCTGCACAGGAGTTATGCTGGCTCACCTACCTGCCGACCGACCTGGGAGAGCGGCCTCGTTCTCCTCCAGTGCTGTACGTCGACAACAAGGCTGCCATTGCCTTGTGTGAGGAGCACAGACTGGAGCACAGAACGAAGCACATCGCTCTACGTTACTTCCTGGCTCGAGAGTTGCAGCAGCGTGGTCAGCTTCGTCTGCGTTACGTGGCCACTCAGGCCAATACAGCTGATATATTCACCAAGGCACTTCAGTTTGGTGATCATCAGCATTTTTGCACTTTGCTAGGGCTTGTGCCCTCTTTTCCTCACTTGTTGTAGACTTTGCCTGTACTGTGATGTATATATATATACCTGCATGTTTGCTTTGCTAAGTATAGATCACTGTGATGCTTGTGTTACATAGATGTCTCTGCATGTGAACTGGCCTTGTGGCCTTTTGCTTGTGCTCAGTGAGTGCGATGACGTTGTGATCCACCCTGAGCTTGCTTTGCCTTTCTTGACTGGTCTTGTGACCCCTTTCGCTCCCCCACTTTGCCTATGGGGGTGTGTCAAATGTTATATCTGCTACAGTTTGTTTAGGCTGTAGTGGGGTAGATACTATGGGGTATGATAACTTTAGGGTTTCCTACTTGTACCCCACTCTTGACCTAGTGCAATCACTTCTCATTCTTGACATCCCATGTCCGGCAGGCCCCTCTGGCTCCCTCACAAGTCTCCACCTCACCTGGATTGTTACGAAATTGGTGAGTACCGGCTTCTGCCAGGATCAGTTGGTGACCACCAAAATCCCTAGGGGCGAGCCCTTGGCGATCTATACGGACACAGAGACATGGAGGCCTGGTCCTGGACTGTACACTGTACACAATGCACACTGAGTCTGCTCATGTAGCTTCGTCAGGCCAGGTAGCGTCGTTTAGCTCGTGCCAGAAGCTCACGCACCAGTCCATCCTCTATCACCACCGTCTTGGTTCACCCTCCCCTCCCCGCCTCCGCAGCATGCAGTCGCGTCGCCTAGTTTTTGGCCTCCCGAAGTCGCTGCCCCCGCTCGCACCGTCGATTGCGCCGCCGTGCACTTCCTACGTCGAGAGGTGGCAGCGCGCCGCTCCTCACTCCTTGTTTCCTCCAACAACTGCTCCTCTGTAGACTTTGCAGATGGACGTGTGGGGCCCTGCCCCTGGCCGTGGGCCACGTCAAGAGCACTACTTTCTACTAGTTGTCGACGACTTCACGCGCTACACCACGGTGTTTCCCGTCCAACATAAAAGCGATGTCTATTGTGTTTTGATCCCTCGGATCTGCGCTGTTCATCTCCAGCAGTGAGCTCGTTTCCAGCACGACCTCCCGGTGCTTCGTCTGCACTCTGACAATGGAGATGAGCTTTCCTCCGTCTCCTTGAGGACTCTTGTCTTTAGGACTTTATAAAAGATGAATTAGAGAATGATGAGACAATAATCAAAGCAGGCATTTAAGGGCAGATAAGATACGTGCTAAGCGCGGACATCGGGACGTGCGTGGGTTGGATGTGAACTTGAAACTGACGCGAAGTGCTTGGGGCTGTACGCCCTAGGAGCAGGCCAGGGCTAATTTTTTGTTTTGAGGAACCCTTATGATTAGTGCTGCACTTGTGCAAATTCTTGATTATCAGTGTGATCCATAAGGAAAATTCTTTTGCATCAGGGTTCAGGCTAGGTTAAAAAAAAACTACCCTGAGGCATCAGTGTAAGATTTTAAAAAAGCCTGATCATATCTGTTGTTGTTACATTGAAAGCACACAATAATTTCTTTATTACGAAACGAAACTGTAATTCTGGCCCATAGGGGCCCACTTCGTGCCAACATATGTATTGTCATGGCGAAAACAATTGATTTGACAGTTGGCCAATGGGAATCTCGGGTTACGGGAAAGGGGGGGTGGGGGGGATTGTGGTATTCGCGTCAGGGTAAAACTCGCTAAGAACGGTAACCCTGGGGCCACAGTGTGCCTTAAACGTAAACTCTGGCATATCAGGAAAATCTAAGCTCTTGAAAGAATACTATGTGGCATCAGTGTGACTACCAAAACCCACCCTGATAATCAGTGTATCAGGGTGATTTGCACTTATAACATTAGCCCTGGAGCAGACTCAGTAAAGAATATCTACATTCATAAGACAATGTGCCAAAAACGATTGAAACGTAGATATTGTAACAGACGCGCGGACGTCGTCAATCGCGAAGCTGCCTTTTTCGCGACACACATGGTACCTCTCCCAACACCATGACATAGGGCAGCGAAGTAGTGCCTCCCTCTCTGCATGGCGGCACAGAGGTACTTTAGGGTTTACAAGGCACCCGTATGTTACGTGCGGCATCACTTGTAGGTTAGCAGGCATCTCGTTCTACATCGGCACCCCCTTCGGTTGACTCTTTTCAGTTTCGCTGTTTTTTGTTTTGTTGCCCGCGGGAAACTCGTTGCGTGGAACGTGACGTGGCTGTTTTACGTGCGTACCAGAATCCGTTCTTTACTCGCGGACAAAGGAGCACCCACGTTGACATTGCATGGGTATGTTGTGCGTCAGCACGGCACCCCCATGGGCCCTTGTACAGTATAGCATCCCCAAGCCACTCAATAGTCAACGGGTCCTTGATACAGTACACAGCTGGCGCTTGCACCCGTTACGAACCGTTCAGAACATACGGCGGGCGCCAACGTCGCTACGTGGGCACCGGAACATGACGTCCTTCGTTTGCGGGCAAAGGGACGTTGGCACGGCACCCCCATGGCTGCCCAGCATTCTCACCTGAGAGCCTGACCAACCCCTTGGGTTGACTCTCGCTGCTGCTGTTGATCTCTCCTGGGCGCTCCCGTTCCTGACTTCGCGTCGAGGCGTGAGGCGGGTACTCGGGTTGCGTGAAAGCAGTGAGTGCCCTCCTTTAAGCATTATACGTTCCATTCACAGCTAGTGGCATCACATCAACTTGGGCCTGTGAGTTCGTTCAACACAGCCCATTCCAGACGATTGGATCTTTCGTTTCTCCGCGTCCATATCGCTACTCTGACACACCTCTCCCACCAGACAACACAATGGCTTACTCTCGGACGGCCGCCGTGGTTGCGCTGCTGCTGCACGCGGCGTGCCTCTCATCGCCGCATCGTCTCGTCGCGGGCCACGTGTGGCCTTCCAATGAAGCGGCAAGCACCCGCTACGAGTTAAAGAGGGCCAAGGCGCCTGGTGAGTGTTCAAACGAACTGCAGTCGTGCGAGGGACTGCAGCCGTCACTGCAGCCGTCACTGCAGCCGTCACTGCAGCCGTCACTGCAGCCGTCGCTCGACTTGTCCCATCCCCATCCCCATCCCCATCCGCATCCACATCCGCATCCGGACCGTCTTGTTTGACTCAACCATGCCTGTTCCGTCCCAAAATGTTCTGAGAGTTTATTCTCCTGATAATGCCCCTTTTAATCCACGCGTCCGTGCCTCTCCCCTCCCCCTCCCTCTCCCCCCCCCCCCCCCCCTCCCTCTCCCCTCCCCCTCCCTCTCCCCTCCCCCTCCCTCTCCCCGCGTCCAGCCGCATGCCCCGCGGGCGTTGTCTGCCCGACGGGAGCCTTCTGCGTGGTGGACAGCGGCGGCTTCCCCTTCTGCAAGTGCCTCACCGGGCAGGGCATCGTCAACGGCGCGTGCTTGGATGCCATGAGCTGGAAGACGGTGGGCACGAGCGTCGTGCTCTACAACGCCGCCTCCTTCGCCAACTCGCCCGCCACGCTCGCACCGGCCGTGCTGCGTGCGCCAGCACCCAACTCATCAGCCTGTACTGTTGTCCCGAAGGGGTTCAACGGCACGGTGGGGTCGCTGCGCATTATGTGGAACGTGGATGACGGCGCCAAGGATCACCTTGTGTGCGGCAAGCTCGTCTTCTGGGACAAGCCTGACTGCTCTGGGTCGGCATCGGTGTTTGAGATTCCCGGCAAGTGGACTGCAGCCAAGGCCGACAAGTTCAACTACGCCACCACCAGCGTCAAGTGAGTGCCGCAGCTACTGTCTCCCGCAGTTCTTAGGGTGATCTCTGCTTTTCCTGCAGCGACTGGCTCTGCTTTTGTGTTGGCTGCACTTATCGTGACTCACTCTGCGTGTGTTGGCCTGGCCTGTTGGGACGGACGGAGTGCAGGAAGGCAGCGGGCGTGGTGGCGACGGGCAGGTCCTTCTCGTGTCTGGCGGCCGTGAAGCCGCCTGTCACGGACCTGTGTGCCACGGCGGCATGCCCGCCCAACTCCAAGTGCGTCCTGACGAACAGCTCGTTCGCGTGTGCGACGCTGGACTGACCTTGGTTCCCGAGGGCTTCTGTGTTGGTGAGTCATCGCCATGCGTGGAGTGGAGTTGGGTTGAGGACCATGGGATGGGAGGTGGTTCATGCTTAGCCCCTGCTGCACACGTGATTTATTTCATGCACTTCCATCCGTCGACGCTTGCACACGTGAATGGACCCATGTGCGTCATGGCTCATGACATGCCAGTTGACCCATGTGCTGTGCGTCGTGGCTCATGACATGCCAGTTGACCCATGTGCTGTGCGTCGTGGCTCATGACATGCCAGTTGACCCATGTGCTGTGCGTCGTGGCTCATGACATGCCAGTTGACCCATGTGCTGTGCGTCGTGGCTCATGACATGCCAGTTGACCCATGTGCTGTGCGTCGTGGCTCATGACATGCCAGTTGACCCATGTGCTGTGCGTCGTGGCTCATGACATGCCAGTTGACCCATGTGCTGTGCGTCGTGGCTCATGACATGCCAGTTGACCCATGTGCTGTGCGTCGTGGCTCATGACATGCCAGTTGACCCATGTGCTGTGCGTCGTGGCTCATGACATGCCAGTTGACCCATGTGCTGTGCGTCGTGGCTCATGACATGCCAGTTGACCCATGTGCTGTGCGTCGTGGCTCATGACATGCCAGTTGACCCATGTGCTGTGCGTCGTGGCTCATGACATGCCAGTTGACCCATGTGCTGTGCGTCGTGGCTCATGACATGCCAGTTGACCCATGTGCTGTGCGTCGTGGCTCATGACATGCCAGTTGACCCATGTGCTGTGCGTCGTGGCTCATGACATGCCAGTTGACCCATGTGCTGTGCGTCGTGGCTCATGACATGCCAGTTGACCCATGTGCTGTGCGTCGTGGCTCATGACATGCCAGTTGACCCATGTGCTGTGCGTCGTGGCTCATGACATGCCAGTTGACCCATGTGCTGTGCGTCGTGGCTCATGACATGCCAGTTGACCCATGTGCTGTGCGTCGTGGCTCATGACATGCCAGTTGACCCATGTGCTGTGCGTCGTGGCTCATGACATGCCAGTTGACCCATGTGCTGTGCGTCGTGGCTCATGACATGCCAGTTGACCCATGTGCTGTGCGTCGTGGCTCATGACATGCCAGTTGACCCATGTGCTGTGCGTCGTGGCTCATGACATGCCAGTTGACCCATGTGCTGTGCGTCGTGGCTCATGACATGCCAGTTGACCCATGTGCTGTGCGTCGTGGCTCATGACATGCCAGTTGACCCATGTGCTGTGCGTCGTGGCTCATGACATGCCAGTTGACCCATGTGCGTCATGACGTAGCAGTTAACCTCATGTATGTCATGGCAGTTGACTCATGCCTACATTTTCCGTCTTCCCTTCCACTAAGTCATCCTGCTGGCATGCATGAGATGTCCTTTGCTCTCATTGGTCCGTTTCTGCACAAAATGGCTTCATGAATGCACACTCCTGATAACGCCAGTCTGCTAATCCTTTCTTTTGATGCAGATTCGTGCTCCGTCAAGCAATGTGGCATCGGTGGCAATTGCGTTCTTCTATCGAACGGCGAGCCGTACTGTGCTTGCAAAGATGGCTACGAGCGGGAGTTTGTAACTGGCTCATGCATTGGTATGTGTGCTCATGCATTGGTACATGCTCAAAGATTGGTATGTGTGCTTACATCGGTATGTGTGCTCACATTGGTATGTGTGCTTACGTTGGTATGTGTGCGTAGATTTTTATGTGTGCTTACATTGGTGTGTGTGCTCTCCCGATCTCATTCTTCCCTTATTACCAACTGATATTACCTATCGGTGTTCGAAAGATTCCTATCATCCCTTCCGTTTTTTCCTCAACCCCCATGTTGCCTACTGGAGAGGGTCAATGCAAAGACTGCCTTCAGGGTACCTTTGGCAACAATTCTTTGCCGTACGCTTACTGCCCACCGGGCTTCAACATGCGCTCTGGTGCTTGCCTGCCAGGTGGGTACTGTAGCCTGCCAGGTGGGTAATGTAGCCTGCCAGGTGGGCTGTAGCCTGCCAGGTGGGCTGTAGCCTGCCAGGTGGTTACTGTAGCTCTTTTTGCAGGCTATGCATGGCGTGCGATCAACAGGGTAGTACGTACGATGCACTTGCTGCTTCACCACCATTTCAGGGAAACATCTAGCGCCAGAATTTCCCCTTGGTGTCGTATGCTTTCTCTGCCTGATCTCTTCTCCTTCACACCGCTCCCCTGCGTCCAATGGTCCAATCCCCTTGCCTTGCCTGGCAGGAGTCGTGCCTGACGTGGCAGACATCGCCATCAGCATCTACAGCACCACCAGCTTCGGCTTACAGAGTGGTCCGCCGTACGTCTTCCGCCTCAAGCCCAACAAGTGTGTCACCATCCCTGCGGCCGTGGTTGCCAGCAGCAAGTCGGTGGGCATTCTGTACCGAGCGCCGGGCACGTATGTGAGGTGCAGCACCATGACCATCTTCACCCAGCCCTTCTGTGCCGGCCTCTCACTCACCTCCGCCGTGCCCATCAACAACGACCTTGTTGCCACGCCCATTCCGTGAGTCTCTATCTCTATCCCTCCCTCCTCTCCTCCCTCTCTCCTCTCCTCCCTCTCTCCTCTCCTCCCTCTCCTCCCTCTCTCCCTCTCCTCCCCCTCCTCCCTCTCCTCCTCCCTCTCCTCCTCCCTCTCCTTCCTCTCCTCCCTCTCCTCCCTCTCCACCCTCTCCTCCCTCTCCTCCCTCTCCTCCCTCTCCTCCTCTCCTCCCTTTTCCTTTAGGTCTGCCCTCAACCTCCCTGTCTTTAGCCGTGAACGCTCTATTTTTTTGCACTTATTCTGCATCATATGTTTGTACCCTCAAATTATTTCCTTTATTTTTCATGTTTCTCTGATCAGGAATAATGGACTCTGGAAGCCCTTGTCTATACAGTGCCTTTTGTCTTGAGGATCTGGCTGGGAAGACGTTAAGCTTTGAGATCTGAAGTTGAAGTAGAAGGCTGCATGGCTTTCCCTCTCTGTTCCGCTTCTTCCCTTCTCTTTCTCCCCCTTCTCTCCTCTCTTACACTCTCCTCTCTGTCCTTAGGGTACATCCCAACAGGGACGTTTGTGTCACACTTAGATTGTGACGCGCAAATACCGTATTACATTTGTATTGGGGAAAACATGTCAATGATAACTTACATGGGGCACTATAACGCGTACGGTAACGATTTCATCGCGTTTGGCAACTCGCCTAACGCGTTTGGTAACTCCCTTAAAGCCAGCAGCTAAAATAGTGACCCCCCCCCCCCCTTCTAGTGGGTCCACTTGAAAACTCAAACTAACTTTGTACAAGGTTCTGACGGTCGAAGTGTTGTTCTGTTTTGTTTTTCAGACGCGTTCAAGTCTTCACACAATTTTTTACAAAAAACGTCGCAAGCATGTGTCGCAAGTTGGCGACGTGCAAATCCTAATCACACGAGGGGGCCAATTTCAACAAGTGTTGCATGTTCAATTCACACACAACAAACGCCTTAGACATGTGCCTGCTGGGGCGGCAAAAACAGCATAGGAAAAGCAGAACTGCGGGAAAAAACAGAGAGTTTCGGGTTAGAGATAAAAAGGAATAGGTAGAAGGAAACGAGAGCGCACGGAGAGCGCTGATTGAGCGAAAATTGCTGAATGGTAGGGTGTTGGGAGATGGGAGGGGAGAAACGAAGGGCGACTTGCAGGCATTTCGGGGCGAACGCGAAAGCGCCGAGGTGGGTGATGGGAGGGGAGAGAGGAAAGGTGACGACTGCATCGAGGGCAACGTGAGAGGAGGGGAGATAGGATAGGAAACGGGAGAGAGCAAGGGCAACGGGAGAGAGAACGGGCAACGGGAGAGAGAAAGGGCAACGGGAGAGAGAACGGGCAACGGGAGAGAGAAAGGGCAACGGGAGAGAGAACAGGCGACGGAAGAGAGAAAGGGCGACGGAGAGAGAGCAAGGGCGACGGAGAGAGAGCAAGGGCAACGGAGAGAGAGCAAGGGCGACGGAGAGAGAGCAAGGGCGACGGGGAGAGAGCAAGGGCGACGGAGAGAGAGCAAGGGTGACGGAGAGAGAGGAAGGGCGACGGGAGGGAGTTTCGGGGCGTTGGCGAGGGCGACGAGGGGAACGACGGGATGGGAGAGAGGATGCGCTACGGGATGGGCGACGGGATGGATGAACGGGAGGGGCGACAGTATGGGCCACGGAAGGGCGACGACGACGGAACGGAACGGGAGGACGACGGGACGGCAGAATGGGCGGGTGACTGGACGGCCGAACAGGAGGGCTATGGGGAAGGAGAAGTGATCACGTGGGTAAGGGAGGCAAGAGGAGATCACGTGAGCGACGGGACGGACATTCTGATTAATACATGTTGAGATAACGAGGGCAACAGTCCAGACATAGCCTATGCCCAACCTAGCTACTTACCGTATAACTAGCGACGCAAAAGTGGTAGTAGTTCACCCCATCCCAACTTGAAACATGAGCTGGGCCCAAATCGCTTGGATAGACTGAAACGATCGCCTATGCAATTGTCGTGCGAAATGAGAAATGAGAAATGCGACGCCACACATCCCCAGAATGTTTTTATTTTGGCGGGAAACCAATCAAAGGTGTTGGATTTGCACGTCCGCAGCGTTTGAAACGGTACAAACTTGTCAGTCCGGTCCAAAATTTGTTTCGCCCGGCAAACTCGTCCCTGCGCTCTTTCAAGTTGGGTTTGGGTTCACTACTTTGCATTTCGGTTTTAACGTGTTTGGTAACTCGCTTAACACGTTTGGTAACTCCCTTAACAGCCCATCACGCGAATGTTAATTTCGATGAAATCAATGTCAGAGGTCCACTGGTGATCCCCGATTGATCCTAGAGAAGGGTTACAGGCACGTTAGCCTGGGGGGTTATGGGCGCACGGACCCGCTACTTAACAAGCCCTTTTATCCCAATGGTCTAGTGGTTGGGATTCTGACATGGTATCAGAGCGAAGGTCTCGGGTTCGAATCCCGGTGTATGCACTTCGGGCATCCCAGTGCGGGGGGGTGTCATAGGTCCACTGGTGATCCCCGATTGATCCTAGAGAAGGGTTACAGACATGTTGGCCTGGGGGGTTATGGGCGCACGGACCCGCTACTTAACAAGCCCTTTTATCCCAGTGGTTAGTGGCTGGGATTCTGACAATCAACTCTGACATGACCCTGAAGTGACCGTTTCCCGCTCGCGCCAAACCAATGCACGAGTTGTGATGCACCCACGTCCTGTTGAACCACGTACGCAACCCAACCGAACCAGATCCGAGCGTATTGTACACCGCGTGCACACTAAGATCAACCCAACCTGCAAAGCTGCAAGTTCCCCGTGGCCCCACCAGATTGTTGGAAACAAGTAACTTAAGCGCCTCTGTCGTGTCGAAGCACTAGGTCATTAACGAAGCGAAACACAGCGAAGCATCGGCGAGTCAACCCTTGGAGGTTGAACAACTGCTGGAGGTTACGCGAAAGTCAAAGGTCAGCGACCTTTGACCTGACAAGTACAGCGCGACAGCAAGGACAAACAACTGACTCGTTATTGAGCAGTTGCCCGAGTCGTCACTGTATCGAACCGCAACAGCAACAGCAAAACAGTTATTAGCTACAACCCTTCATCTTCCCTTGTACTCTTATAAAAGACTGTATCTCTTTGTTTTAATTAATCTACTTTGCCCTCACATACCAGTGCAAGGTGGTTCACAAACTTGTCATTAAACGCTTCCGCTATTACATTGTCCTACTCAGAGTTTAGTCCTGCAAAGATCCTAAGGGCTTTTCTCAACCCAACATGGTATGAGATCTATCAGGACAAATTCAACTACAATCAAGACTTCTACAACATCACAAGGCATGGCAACGCAGAAAGAGAGAAGCTCCTCTAACGGCTCTCCTGGTACTACTCCTACTCCACCTCCTGCCTTTGGCCTACAAACAGAGGAGGGCACAGCAACAAGACCGGCAGCTGCGTCTACCGAAACTCCCGCAAATCAAGCCGCGGGCTTCGACCCTGACATGATGGAGAAATTCTTCTCCTTCATGTCCTTCTACGAACAACACCAGCAAGGGGCACCTGCGCAGTCAAACAACAGCAACAACAACAACAACGTGACACAGATGAGCCTCGACGGTTCATCCTACGCGCGAGGAAATCAGCAACAACAACCTACCTTCGCCCCGTACGAACCTCAGCGCGGTTCCGTCAGCTTCATGCCGCGCCAACAGCCTTCACCTGAGCAAGAAAAATCATTGGATGCACTTCAACTCCAGACGCAGTTTGTGCACGTCTTAAAACTGCAGACGTCAAGACCGTTCGACGGAAAGGACTTCTTTACCTGGTCATTCGAATTCGAGCTGATAATGGAAGGCGCGCAGATTCTTGGCTTCTTCGACGGGTCCCTGCCATATCCAACGCACGGGACGCAATACGACAAGCAGCAGTATACATATCAGTCCATGATGGCGTATACAATCCTACTGCGCAACGTCACACCGAACCAGCAGCAGAACATTCGGTCTTACCGAGGATACGGGAACTCCGCCGAGCTCGCGTACAACCACCTGAAGAACCTGTATCAGGCAACGGACAGCGTTAATCAGAGTCGATTAATGGCACAACTGACAACAGTGGAAATGAAACCGGGCGAAAAGGGGATGGCATATATCAGTCGCTGTCGCGAATTGCGCGACAAACTCCTTCGATGCGGAGGATCGATATCAGAAGACGCCTTCGTCACAGTCGTCATCGGCGGTCTTGGTCCTCATTGGCGCTCCACTCGCGCCATACTCCGAGCTCACGGGAAAATCTCCGAAGCAGCACTATGCGCCAAAATTCACGCTGAGCAGCAAGACATGGACCTGTAAGAGGAGCGGCACAAGAGGAAAACGTCAGTACCTAAATTTGCGTTTCACACTCAACGGCGCTACAACAACAACAACAACCGGCATCAACCAAAATCCGTACCTCCATTCTGTCATCTTTGCAAGACTTCAGGGCACCCTCGCACACACTGTCCGAATCGACAGCAGTCGACACCGCCGCAACGCCAACTTCGTCCTTCAAGTAGTCAAGTGGTGTCCACACAAGCGCACCCCACGAGTCAACTGCAGTCCTCAACGACATCGTCAACGCAATTTGCAGAAGGAACAAGAAACATCGTCAGTTGCATGGCAAGACTGACTGACTCCTGCATCACTGAGTCACCACCGCACTACTCATCGGAAGAGCAACTCGACAACAGCACTCCTCGCCGCGAGTCACTTCAACCGAACCCGACGTACGCAGCCATTGCTCAAAGCGAGCCGTCCGGTAAAGATACCTGGTTCTTGGACAGTTGCTGCGGACAGCATATGTGCTCCTCAGGTCGCTTCGTTCAACGCGAACACCAACTTCAACGCGGAGTCGTCATCACCGTCGCCAACAACCAGAACCTGCGCACACGACGACAAGGCGTAGTGCAACTTCAGTCACGAGAGACAAACGTCATACTACAGATGTCAAAAGTGTTAATTGCGAAGGGACTCAGCTACAACTTACTGAGTGTCAGTCAGCTGATGGCGAAAGGCATCCACCTCGAAGCAGACAGCACAACATAGGAGTTCAAGCTGTACCACGGGAGAGGAGACCTCTACATCGGCAAGGCCGTACTGAAGAACAACGTTTTTGTTCTCGACTTTGTTCCAGATCTAGGCACCGCCGACAGCGACGTGATCGTCACCTTCACCTCCTGGACGCACCCACCGGATCTTGATCCTGACTTCAGCCCCGAAGGATTCTGGTACTCGCACACCACTCCTGAGGCAGAACGAACAAGAGCATTAGCAACAATTCAATCGGCAGCAGCAGAGACAACATCGGCAGCAGCAGAGACAACATCGGCAGCAGCAGAGACAACATCGGCAGCAGCAGAGATAACATCGGCAGTAGCAGAGACAACATCGGCAGCAGCAGAGACAACATCGGCAGCAGCAGAGACAACATCGGCAGCAGCAGAGACAACATCGGGAGCAGCAGAGACAGCATCGGCACCAATCGCGGGTCCTTCAACTACACCGGCCCCAATCGACGACGACACTCCACCGACTCCTGCGCAGCAACTAAACCCAACACCACGGGAAATACATCGAAGCGCAAACTTCACCGCAAGCTTCTACTCCAACTCCGACCTAGTCCATCGCTCACCCGGACATCGAGCTGGCGAAGATATCTGGCACGCACGAATGGGACATCCAAGCAACACAATCAGAGCAGGCGTGCTTGACAAAGACTCACTGCTCCTAACCGACGGAAGCGAACTTCGACGAGCTTGTGGAACGTGCTTTACCTGCCCCGAAGCCGACTTACCACATAGGCCGTTCGATTCTCACCACAACCCCAGCGCACCAGCTTACGCACCACTCGAGAAAGTGTACAGCGACGTCCTGTACAACCGCGAACCTGGACAAGGAGCATACAGCTACACCATCACGTTCATCGATGCCGCCACACGCTACGTTCGGCACCTCAATCTTCCGAGCAAAGACATGGCTTTCGAGGCTTTCGTCGCCTGGCTCCCAGTAGCAGAATGAGAATCTGGCGTGAAACTAAAGAGCTTCCAGTCAGACGGAGGAGGAGAATACACCTCACAAAGGTTCAAGCAGTACTTGCAGAAAGAGGGATCAAGAGGCTCATCTCCCTTCCCTACGCTCACCAGCAGCAAGGCGTAGCAGAAAGGATGAACAGGACTCTCTAGAACACCATGCGCAAGCTGCTACGTGGCATGCGACTACCCAACCACCAATGGCCCGAAGCAATGGACCACGATGTCATGCTGCACAACTTGCTCTCGTCATCATCGCTCCCGAACAACGCATCACCGCACCTGCTGTGGACAAGAAAACAGGGCAGCACAAAAATGTTTTCGGATGCATGGTACAGTACCGACCCCCAGCTGCACGAGCCAGCCGATTCTCCCAACGCACACTGTGGGGACTACACCTGGGCATCGAAAGGAATTACAATGCGTGGAAGATTTTTGACGTCCATTCAAAGGAAACAGTAGCAGCACGTGATGTCATATTCTACGAACGACTCACCCTTCCGACGTACCTTGCCAACCTGGAAGAAGGTCGGGACCCCACAGGTGGCTTCCGTGGTGACCGAGCCTTCGCCTCGGCAGCAGACGAAGCTGACTGGGACGAGCAGAACGTGCATGACGCCTCGGAGGAAGCCGGACCTCCCCTTACTACTCCGTCGACGTCCCAATGGATGACGAAAATCTCCGCGAAAGCGCCAACGCCGAAGTATTTTACCACTTCGCCGACAACGGTTACGTTACACCTGCAAGAGTCAAAACCAACGAAGCAGAACGCATAGGGCCCAACTTCATACCTGACCCAAAAGCAGGTGACGAAGCAGCTTATCCCGAGGACACAACACTCCCCGGCTACACACAGAGTGGTCTTCAGATACTCGGCCTCGTCAC